CTTGAACGTCCTAGCCTACAGAACTGTGAGAAATAAATTTCTGTTGTTTAAGCCACCAGCCTATGATGTTTTTATTACAGAGGCCTGAACTAAGACAAGAATTTACCCAAGGAAGCATTGTTATATTAGTGATGAAGTCAGGATTCTAACTCAACTCTGACACTAGGTTCTTTTAACCATTACCTTGGGTAGCCAATGGGAGGGTGTGCATTCAGCAACAACACACAGAGAAGTGGTTCTCAATCCTGGTTGCATGTTAGAGTACTCCGAGGCGCTTTTTAAAATTCTGATGCCTAGATCAGAGATTCTGATTTTAATTGACCTTAAGGGAACCCAGTCCTCAGCAGTTTTAAAATCTCCCCCAGGTGATTTCAATATGCAGAGCAAAGTTTCTCCAATATTACTATGCATAAGAACCCCCTTAGAACTTTGTTACATATACAGATTTCTAGGCGGTACCTTGTCACCCTGTTTCGGTTATATAGGGAGGACCCCAGGAATTAGCTTCTTTAGCATACATCCCAGCTCAGTGTTTCTCAGAATCGTTGAAATGAAATTCCGACTCAAGAGGTCTGGGATGGAGTTTCAGACTCTGCATTTCAAACAAGTTTTCTCGTCACACTGCTACCGGTCTAGGGGCCACACTTTGCATGGCAAATGCCTCAACAGGTGTGGAAGAGCCTCATGTTTCTAAAAGAGTAGTCCTGGGGCTGCCAGCATCACCTGGGAACTTGTTAGAAATGAAAATTGGGAGCCCACCTCAGCCCTACTGGATCAGCAATTCAAGGAGTGGTGCCCAGCAGTTTTAGAAAGCCCCGGCTGCGCACAGTGGCTCATGCCTGTAATCCCAGCACTTTGGGAGACCAAGGCAGGTGGATCATGAGGTCAGGAGTTCAAGACCAGCCTGGCCAAGATGGTGAAACCCTGTCTCTACTAAAAAAAAGAAAAAAAAATTACGAAAATTAGCCAGGCACAGTGGCAGGCTCCTGTAAATCTCAGATACTCAGGAAGCTGAGGCAGGAGGATCGCTTGAACCCAGTGGAGTGGGGTGGAGTGGAGATTGCAGTGAGCCTCGATCACGCCACTGCACTCTAGCCTGGGTGACAGAGGGAGATTCTGTCAGAAAGAAAGAAAGAAAAGAAAGAAAGAAAGAAAGAAGGAAGGAAGGAAGGAAGGAAGGAAGGAAGGAAGGAAAGAAAGAAAGAAAGAAAACCCCCCACCCCAGGTGCTGCAGGGTACAGTTTGGGAACCACCACCAGAGGAACGGACCACATCTGCTGAGACAGCTGCTCAGGGCAAGCAGAGTGCAAGTGTCTTAGAGGTCTCTTCTTTGCTCAAAGGCAAAACTGTTTCCTCAGGGGGACCAGTCAGGTTGAGCAGGAAGAAGACTAGGGTCCTACCAGACACATCTGGAACCCAGCAGGAATTCTCCAGCTTCCCAACAAGGTCAGGGGCGGCCATGTTGGTGTCATTATGTAAATATGCAAAAAGAAACATTCTTGAAGGAAAGCCCTTGACTTTGATTTTAATGCAATCTGGCTCAGCCCTCTCTCCAGATGTCTATTTACTGGCTTCCCAACAGCTGCCAGGGAGATGCAATGCAGGGTTGATTTGTTTTCTCTCAATTTAACGCATCTGTTTCTGGAGCCCAAATACCCATATCGGGAAAGCTGTGGGACTTCCATGGCCTGAAGAAATACAGAAAGTTAATACCTTCCTGAAAGATTATCATTCTGAACATTCATTCCCTTATTCATTCTTTAAATAACTATGTATTGAATGCCTGTGGTATGCCAAGATAGGGAGAAATGATAATACCATTTATTGTGTTAGTGATATCTTTATTATTTTCTCATCTCACTTCTATGAGGTAGACAGCATTATTAATCTCCCCTCAGTTTTGGAGATCAATAAGCTGGGGCTCAGAGAAATCATCACATGCCCCAGGTCACACAGTCAATTGTGGGGCCATCAGGTAGCCAGGAAGGTGGGAAGTAGGGCTGCTTTGTCCTTTACCTGTGAACCTGCAAGACTGTGGATTGGGGCACTTGGTTAAAGATCCTAAAGCGAATGGCTACTCATGCAGAATTAGCTAGCTTGTGTCTGCTAGGTTGGCTCATAGTGACTCCATGTGCCACTGCCCCACACACATCTATAGCATCCCCAAGAGAGCTAGAGAAAAGAGAAGCCTTTGGCTCTGAATGTCCTCCTGGGACAACCGCCATTTGGTAAATAGTCTCTAATTTGTCCATTTATTCACTGTCTCCTCATGGGCCCCTACTTCATGCCAGCAGTTTCTCATCACAGGGGAGTGAGAAAAACCAGAGAGGGATGGAGAAGACAGCGTGGACTCACTGGTCCAGTTCTCAGGATAGATAAGATCCCACAGCACCCTCTTCTTTCTCTACCCTGAGGAGATCCATCCCACCAGCCCACAACTTCTCCAGGGGTCAGGTGCCAGGATCCCCCCCACTACAAAGTCACCAGGTACCCTTTTCAGGGGTCTTTAGTCTGGGAAAGGAATCCAAACAAACTTCCTTAAAAAGCAGAACCCAGAATGGCTGTGCCTCTCTGAGCTGGAGCCCTGGCCCTCTGTAGACAGCGTGCTCAGTTACAGTTGAATGCGGAAGGAATGAGAGAGCTGGGCCTGGGGATGGGGGCAGAAGTGGTCCCTTCTGCTTTCCTGGAAAATGGGTCCTGTCCCCTGCTTCCCACCCCTGGGCTCTGGGGAGGTCACATGAGTCTCCCATTTAAAGTTCAGCTGCTCTGCCTGGCCCTGAAATGGAAGCTTTCAAAATCCAGGACACCAGCAAGAGGAGCCAAACAGGCAGCGGGCACAACCCCACCAAGAAGTCTCTTATAGCTGAGGGAGACCTCCGCACTAAGAAGTTGTGTTGCTGTAATGCTGTTTCAAGTCTGAAACAAAGGGAGCATTAAGAACCATACACCAGCAGCCTTGGAAGGCAGCTAGAGATCCCTTTGAGAGAATGCTGTCTCCATTTCATCTTCTGCCAAATACATGCGTTTTTCATCATCCACTGGTTTCCTGCCTGAGGCTCTTGAATTAAGATGGGGTGTGTCTCCAGCCATCCCCACAAGGTTCAGATTTGGGGATTTAAATAGACACAGAGCATCCCCCCACATCCCTCTAGGCCAGCTAGTGTCTATATCCCAATATGACCCTGGGAGCTTTGAGCATTTCCTTGCCTGTTTCATAAAAGAAAATTAGAAGGGAGGATCAGAATGGATCATCAGTCCATGCTACTGTGTGAGGAATGGGCTAAAGGGTGCTCACAGAAAGCAGGGAGCCAGATGAATGGCTGCTAAGTAGTCCAGGTGAAAAGGGATGGAGTAAGAATTTATTGGGACCAGGTTGCAGTAGCAATGATGAGAAGTGATTGAATTCAGAATATATTTTAGAAGCAGAAGGACCATCCTCCCCTACCAAAGACCTCCTGTCTAGAGGCTAGTAGTCACCAGGATAGAGGAATGTATGTCCCTGAAAAGGGTATTTGGTGATCTTATGGGGAAGGGGATCCTGGCACCTGACCCCTGAAGGGGGTGTGGGCTGGTGGGATGGATCTCTTCAAGGTAGAGAAGGAAGAGGGTGCTGTGGGATCCCACCTGCCCTGAGAACTGGACCAGTGATTCAAAGCTGTATTTTTCATCCCTCTCTTTTTTCTCTCACTCCCCTGTGATGAGAGCTTCCTGGCATGAAGAGATAGTGAATAAATGAATCAAGTAGGGTCAGAGAGGCTTTGCCATAAAGGGGACAAAGAAATAGACGTTGTCAGGAAAGGACATGGGTTAGGGGAGGTTTTGTGTGTGTTTTGCTTTGTTTTTGCTGTGAGGGGTCCATATTAAGGTGAGTTTGAAGGCTGATGGGAATATTTCAGCAGAGTGGGGAAGCTGGTGGGGTAAGAGGTTAGGCAGAGGTGTCCAATCTTTTGGCTTCCCTGGGTCACATTGGAAGAATTATCTTGGGCCACACATAAAATATACTAGCACTAATGATAGTCGATGAGCTAAAAAAAAAAAGCAAAAAAAAAAAAAATCTCATACTGTTTTAAGAAAGTTTATGAATCTGTGTTGGGCTGCATTCTGAGCCATCCTGAGCCACATATGGCCTGTGGGCCACAGGTTGGACAAACTTAGGTTAGGGGCTGGGATCTGAAGGTGCGAGAGGTGTCTCCTGAGGTGGATGCCCGGACACCTCAACTAGAAATGGAGAGAAGAAGGCAGGCAGAGAGCCTAGAACCATTGTGGCAAAGGTATTGCCTTTCGTGGTGGGGAGGTAAGGAGATCCTCAGGTTTATGCAAATTCATTTCATGAAATGTAAGGCAGATAAATCAATTTGGGAGAAGGTTTGAGGAGAGGAAATATGAAATAGTCACACTCGTGTTCTTTAAAAATGCAGGTTCCTGGGCATCACCCAGTGACTCTGATTCAGCTGTCTGGGGTGGGCGGAGAGAGGAAGCTGAAGTTTTAAAAGGATCCTCAGGTGACGCTGGTGTGGGGATCGTCCCTCTCCTACCCACAGCAGGAAGGATTTGGTGTTGGTTTTGTTTTACATTAATCTGTGTTCTTTACGGTAAGCTGGAAAATGAAGATTAACCAAACGTCAAGTTGAATCCCCCTACTCCCTGACCCCACCACCACCATCACCACTGCTAATATCTCGGCTTCCATCATATATGTCTAGCTCAATAGTTTCCCCCTTAGCTCAGTTTCTCTCCCTTGCAAGATTCAAGTTTGAGCTCTTCTTTCTGTGCCAGGGTTGCTACTCTCCCAGAGGGAGGTGCTCGCTCCTGATGGTTCACTCTTCTCAAACCCCTATAAGGATCCTTCAGGCCAACCTCTTCGGTAGGAAACAGAGGGGGTCCGTTGAGTCTCCAAGGGCCTGCTCCTGCTTCCCAAACTGAGGGAGGAACTCCCACAAGCCCTGAGTGTAGCAGGGGGACCACCAAGGGCCACAACACCTATCGCCTAAGGGATATGCAGTCCCTGGGGCTCTCCGCTTGGGGGCCCGCGGGACAGGAGGTGCACACGCGACAGGAGGTGCGCGGGCGGGGAGGCTCACCCAAGAGAGGAGGCGGGCACCCGAGAGGAGGCGCGCGTGAGTGGAGGCTCACCCAAGAGAGGAGGCACGCACCCGAGAGGAGGCGCGCGTGAGTGGAGGCTCACCCAAGAGAGGAGGCGGGCACCCGAGAGGAGGCGCGCGTGAGTGGAGGCTCACCCAAGAGAGGAGGCACGCACCCGAGAGGAGGCGCGCGTGAGTGGAGGCTCACCCAAGAGAGGAGGCACGCACCCGAGAGGAGGCGCGCGTGAGTGGAGGCTCACCCAAGAGAGGAGGCACGCACCTGAGAAGAGGCGCGCCGGCGGGGAGGCTCATCAGAGAGGAGGCGCGCACCCGAGAGGAGGAGCGCGGGAGGGGAAGCTCACCCAAGGAGGCGGGCACCTGAAAGGAGGCGCGCGTGAGGTGAAGCTCACCAAGAGAGGAGGCGGGCACCCGAGAGGAGGCGCGCGTGAGGAGAGGCTCACCCAAGAGAGGCGCGCACCCGAGAGGAGGAGCGCGGGAGGGTAAGCTCACCCAAGAGAGGAGGCGGGCACCCGAGAGTAGGCGCGCGAGGGGAGGCTCACCCAAGAGAGGAGGCGCGCACCCGAGAGGAGGAGCGCGAGAGGGGAGGCTCACCCAAGGGAGGAGGCGGGCACCCGAGAGGAGGCGCGCGTGACGGGAGGCTCACCCGAGAGAAAGCGCGCACCCGAGAGGAGGCGCGCACCCGAGAGGAGGAGCGCGAGAGGGCTCACCCAAGAGAGGAGGCGGGCACCCGAGAGGAGGCGCGCGTGAGGGGAGGCTCATCCAAGAGAGGCACGCACCCGAGAGGAGGCGCGCCGGCAGGGAGTCTCATTCGAGAGGAGGCGCGCACCCGAGAGGAGGAGAGCGGGAGGGGAAGCTCACCCGAGAGAGGAGGCGGGCACCCGAGAGGAGGAGAGCGGGAGGGGAAACTCACCCAAGAGAGGAGGCCTGCACCCGAGAGGAGGCGCGCGGGCGGGGAGGCCCACCCAAGAGAGGAGACGGGCACTCGAGAGGAGGCGCCCGTCCTGGGAGGCTCACCCAAGAGAGGAGGCATGCAGGAGGGAAGGTGCACACCCGAAAGGAGGCGCGTGGGAGGGAAGGACCACACTGGAGGGGAGGCGCCGCCACTTCAATCTAAAGCCCTGAGTATAAGCAAGTTGTGATCCGCAATTCTACTTACAGGAATTCAATATGGAAAACACCTGTGCATGTCGCTGTGCATTAAGCTGTTAAGTCAGCTAATACTCAAATCTGGTCAGCAATGCTCTATACGCTGTGGGTACAGAAAAGGCAGACGCCTCTGCCCTTGTGCGGCTTCTAGAGGGGAAGCTCCACGCTAAAGGTAAAGAAAAATTGCATAAAATGTCTGGGCGCAATGCCAAGCACTAGAAAAGAAACAAGTAAGGGGTGGAAAAATATGAGAAGGGCCATTTACTTTTAATGTCTCAGATGAGAACTTGTCTCCCAGCACAGGCACAGGCCACCAGAGAGGAGGAAACTTGGAGCTTTCAAAAACATAAAGAAAAATTCCGAGGGGATCTCACTGGCTGTAGTCGAACAGGCAAGTCCTGGTGGGCGGCAATATATGCGAAATAAAAAGCAATATATACAGATAAAATAACAGACGGCAGCTATTGCCGTTAAACTTCCATTCTACTTGGAAGGAAATCTGTAATGCATTCCGTGACCCGAATTTGCGGGGTCTCAGAGTTTCAAGGTGTGTCTCGTGAACTGCACGAGCATTTTTTTGTCCCCATGCATCCTACCTGGCAGTAGAGGCCGGTCACACCCCCCCCATAAGACCAGTGGGCCACCTCCATAATTTCTGTTGCACTATTAAAGCAACACCAATTTACATTATCCGCCTATTAATGTAGCAAAATTAAAAGACACCAAAAGAAAAAAAAACCATAAAGTCCTCAAAGTTATGTTATATAGAATTTAATGCACGGAAAGGTCAGTAAGCACCCACGGGCCTTGAACCCCAGCGCAGAGATAGACAGATAGAAAGTCCGGTATGAGGAGATACCGCTTGAGCTAACTCCGACCGGTATAGGGGTGTGCAGTTGAAACTTCTAAACCATAGAAGAGTGACAGCGTGGAGAGGGAAGGGCTGCATGTGTTCCCCACCCCCGAGAGGCCTGCGTCACGTGGTCCCGCCAGCTCTGCGCCAGGCGTCCTGCTAGCGTGACCTGGAGATCCTCCCAGTTCCTCCCGCCCCGATCCAGCGCAGGAACTGTGGAAGAGGGCAAAATACAATCCTGGAGGGGAAGCAGGAGGGCACGGGGAAGCACATTGCGGGCTGCCTACCTAGGTCTGGCAGCCAGGCTGCTGAGGAGTACCCCCGCAAAGGCTTTTTGGGGTTCCCTCCAGCAGACCAGGGCAGTCTAAGTCCTCCATAAAATCACCCCCAAGCAGCCTGTGAACTTGCCAAAGGCAGGGGTTCTGTGGTTTCATTTTTCTGCCATGTCCTGAGCTGGGCCCTGGAGAACAGAGTTCATGATCAGCAAATCCTCTGTTGATGGGAGGTGAATGAATTAATGAGTGATGATCAGGGCACCAGGGCCCAGGAATAAGCCCTTCTAGAATAGAGACCACAGGCTGAAGACTTAAAAGCTTCGTAGCTCTAGAGAAACGCTCTGATGAGGCCGAAGGAGAATGAATCGTACCTCTTTTTTCCGTAACCCACCCCCTTGTCTACACTACTTTTATTTTGAAAGAATCAGGAGCTGGATGGAGGCAATTGCTAACAAAGAAAATGGGGCCTTCAGGATCTTAATAATAATGTCCCTGCTTGTTGAGCACGCGCGCGCACGCACACACACACACACACCCCGTGTGCCACGCTCTGGGTTAAACATTTATCTCATTTCATGACCAGAGCAACTCTGTGAGATCTATAATGTTGCCATTTTGAAAATGAATAAACTGAGTGTCACTGGTTGTAAGTAACTGAAATGTTAGGAATTACAAAGTGACACATTTATTCAAGAACAGAACCAAAGTCTGAATTCTCAAGAAGGAGAAATAGTTGCATGTAGTGTCTGTCTATCTGCCTGTCTTGCTTAAAGGTATCTCAAGCAACTGGTAAGCTGCACTAGACAGGGTCTTTCATTCTGTTCTTTGCTGTCTCCCTATATCCTCTCCAGTTCCTAGCCTGGTCCACAGTAACCCTCAATATACATTCGAGTGAGTGACTCCAGAGAGTAGGACCCCCTTTACTAGAAACTGTGCTGCCCCAACCTGGGTTTGAATCTGGCTCCCCCTCTTCCTAGCTGTGTAGCTTTAAGCTTTTTAATAATTGTTCCTCGTATTCATTTTGTATTAAACAAAAAACACTAGTAGAGTAAAAATTAAGACAGTAAAGGCAGTGAAAGCCAGCTACCTTTGACCTAACTGCAGCTTCCAATCCAGATCCCTCCCCAAAGGTAACCACTGTTTTTTTTAATTTTGCTGTGTCTCCTTCTAGTCCTCTTCCTATTATACAAAGATAATTAAAAATATATAGCTATTTAGGTTATGGCTGTGTTTTGATATGAAGGAGTACCCTGCACACATCGTTCTGCCCTTGCTTTGTGGGAAATTCCACAGCATGCCTGGGAGGTCTCATTATTTATTATGGCTCCCCAAGAGTACATGAAGCATGATTTGTTTTGCCATCCCCTGTTGGGACTAGACATTGAAGTTTTGTTTTGTTTTTGTTTTTCCCGTGAGTTTACCAATAGCTCTCCAATGAACACCTTTGCACAAGCCTTTTTGTGAACATGGGCAATTTCATGAATGTGAGGATAAATTCCCAGAAGTGGAATTGCTGGGCTGAATAGCATATACATTAATTGTAATTGCCAAGTTGTCATCCAAAAATGGGGTTATTGATAGCATATCCTGATGGTGGGAGGCATGGGAAGTTATGTTGAAATAACACATCTTATTCAGGCCAGGTACCTAGTAGTCTTGGTAAACAATTACAAAAATAACTGCCAATGATCATTTCCCTGCTAGCCATTTCCAGCCCCCAACGTGATCCAGCCTGGGCTTCACTGCCTGGAGCCTGGGTTTAGGAATGAAAACTGTCCCGCAGGAAGGACCCAGCGGGTGCGTTCCAGGTGCTCCCCCTGGTGGGGAAATGTCCCTGGACAGTAAGGAAATCCCCCATCTTTGTAAACTCTATATCAAATCACATCCCTCCCAGCTCAGAACCTTGAAAGACCTCCTCTCATTTTTATAATACAGTCCGGACAGGGTTTGATCGGGTGCCCAACTAACTTTCTGACACTACCTTGTGCCCCTCTCCTCTTTCCTTGCTTTGCTGCAACCACCCTGCCTTCTCTGGTTTCTCAGGCATGCCCTTTCCATCCTGTTCACTCTCAGAGATCCCTCACCCTCCAATCTCATTCTAACACTCAATTCTTATGCCACAACCTCAGAGAGCGCTTTGTTGAACACTCTGTCTAAAGGGCCACCTCTCTCCTCTCCACACACCCTCCTTACTCTTCATCACGTCAGCCTAAGTCTCTCCTCCATTAACAAGACATTAACCCAGACATTGCCAAATGCAGTAGAGACAAGTGTCATGAAGACAGAGATCATATCTGTCTTACATATGCTCTTTGTTTTCCAGTGCCTGCCACAGCACCTGGCAGTAGAAAGTGCTCAACATTTGCCACGTGAATGGATGAATTAATTAATAAATGATACCAACAAGCAGGAATGGAATTGAAATTGAAGCTAGCAGCAAGTGAGGCAGGACATACCTCCTGGGGTTTTTGCTTCCTCCCCTCCATATGCCCTTTCGTGATCAATATAATAATTTTTCTCTGGTGTAGCCTTTAGTCAGAGACATTATCCTGAGTGCCCTGGAGTAGAGAAAAGAATATAGAGAAGCTTTCCACACCTTTACTTCCGTAATCCTCACTACAATCTGCAAGGTAGACTCTGTTATTTGCTGGATAAGTAAATTGAGACTCAAAGGCAAAGTAGCATGTGCAGCTAGTGTTGGCTCAAAGAATGGGAGTACCTGGGGAGGGGGAGGTTAGAAAACAGTTTCTTCCTCTAGTCCAAAAGGACATATAGTCCAAAAGGAAGTACAACCTCATGCTTGCGGAATGGTGGTACTTCTCAGTGGGGAAATGGATACTGGCTAGAATTCCGGGGCAGGCTCATCTATTCAGCACATCTTTAAAGATCATCTACTTTGTGCCACAACCTTCAGAGTTGATTAAGGGGTCAATTCCAGCCTTCAAAAGCCTTGCAGCCAAGACCCGTTACAGATCATTGTTCTGTAGGATGTCAAGTGATATGTTTGGAGTACGTACAAGCAAGGCTATCACATATGGCCAAGTTCTGCATAACTCAAATCTGGGCATTGCCCTTCAGAATGACTGATGTGAATGGTACTGTCCAGTTATACAGTGTACAACCTGAACAAACATACGTGGCTGCCAGTGGGAATGGGAAAAATCATCTGGCTCTAGGTGCTCAATCTGATGAGTAAGAAGAGAAGACAGAAGAGATCTCAGCAGAGCATCAATATGTAGGGTTCTATGGAAGAAGCAAAAGCTAGAGAAATAGGAGGAGAACCAGGTCATTAGAGAAGTCAACAGAAGAGGAACCAAGATGGAGGTGAAGCCAACGGTGCCAGAAGCTGTGCACAGTCAAGCTCCCAAATGACTGTGGCAACAAGGAATTAGTTGGTTACCTTGGCAGGAGTGGTGAGACAGAGTCAGCTTTTTGTTTGTTGAGGAATGAACCTGGGACAGAGTGCATGTGTTCAGCTTTTTCTGGAAGTTGGGCTGTGAAAGGAGAGAGGGGGCAAGGGTTGTAAGGGTCTTCAGGACTGGGAAGAACTTTATTTTGTTGTACGTTTTTCAGATGGGAGCCTTGAGCATGTCTAAACATTGTTGAGAAGGAGCAGTAGCAGAAAAAGAAAAAGTTGAAAATACATTAGAAAATGTTTTTACTAGCAAAATTCATATAGGAAGGTGGCAGACGAAGTGGGATTCATAGTAGGCAAGGATTCCAAATGATAGCTAGTCAGGATTCCAGAAGGCTTCAAGGAGGTGGCAGGCTTTAGTCCTGGACAAAAGGGGCCGCTGCCCTAAGCCTACTGCTTTAAAGAGCCTTGCCTGTAACCCTCACCACAGTGTGATAAGGAACTGTGAAGGAACCAAGGAAAAGGTTTGAACTATACCTCCTGCCATATACAAAATGCAACCATTTAAACAGATAAAATTTAGGTGATGACAGAGCATAGATTTAAATGCATAACCTAATCCAGAACTCTTTTAGATTAGTATACTCTAGGTAACCAGAACACTCAAATCACCTGCCAGCATGGCCCGGTGCCTGCCTGCTTTCAGTATCTATATGGGTTTTTCTCTCAGAGCATCTTTCCAAAAACAGAGCACGCCAAAAGGGAATCCAGCTCATTTCATGAGCCAGACAAACTAATACAAGAAAACAGCAGAAAATATCCCTTATGAACATAGATACAAAAAAACTAATAGTTTAACGAATACAATCCAACAATCTATACAAACGATAAAACAGCATGACCAAGTGGGGTTTATCCCAGAAATGGAAGGTTGGTTAAACATTTGAAAATCAATCTACTTAGTTCACTCTATTAACAAATTAAAAAAAGAAACCCTGTAATCCCAGCACTTTGGGAGGCCGAGGTGGGTGGATCATGAGGTCGAGAGATCGAGACAATCCTGGTCAACATGGTGAAACCCCGTCTCTACTAAAAATACAAAAATTAGCTGGGCATGGTGGCTCGTTCCTGTAGTCCCAGCTACTCGGGAGGTTGAGGCAGGAGAATTGCCTGAACCCAGGAGGCAGAGGTTGCGGTGAGCCAAGATTGCACCATTGCACTCCAGCCTGGGTAACAAGAGCGAAACTCCGTCTCAAAAAAAAAAAAAAAAAAAAAAAGAAACCCATATTATCATAGCAATAGATACAGAAAAGGCATATTTTGAAAATTTTAACATCCATTCCTGATTTTTTTTTTAAAACCTCCCAGCAAACTAGGGATGATAGGAAACTTCCCTAACCTGATAATGGCATCTACCAAAGGGACACTACTAATACCACAGTTAAATAGAAAAGGCTATTTTCCCCTGTGATCACAAATAAAACCAGAATGCCTGCTCTTACCATTTTTTAACACCATATTGAAGGTTTTAGCCAGTGCAGTAAATCAAGAAAAAGAAAAAAAGGTTACCCAATTGAGAAAGGAAGAAGTAAAATTGTTGGCAGAATATAGAAAATCTGATGGAATCTAGAAAAGGCTGCTAGTAAGTTTAGCAAAGTTTGCAAGATACAAGATCAACATACAAAAACCAATTGTATTTTTATTTATTAGCAACAAACAATTGGACATTGAAATTTTTAAAATACTATTTACAAAAGCACAAAATTCTCTGAAATACTCAGGAATAGATATGACAAAATGTGTGCAAGATCTATAAACTGAAAACTACAAAACACTTCTGAGAGAAATTAAATCCTAAATAAATGGAGAAACATATTTGTTCACGGTCCAAAAGACTCAATATTGTTAAGCTGTCAATTCTCTCCAGATCGTTCCATAGATTCAGTGCACTCCCGATCAAGTCCCAGCAGACTTTTTGTAAAAAGTTGACAAGTTGATTCTAAAATTTATATACAAAGTAAAGGACCTATGTTAGCCAAACAACTTTGAAAAAGAAGAATAAATTTGGAAGGCTATCACCACCCAATTTTAAGACTACAGAAATCAAGGCAGTTCAATATTGGCATAAAGATGGACAAATAGATCAATGGAACATAATCGACTCCAAAAATTGGCTCATACTTATATAGATAACTGATTCTTCACAAAGTTGCAAGGGCAATTAGATGGAGAGGTATACAGTCTTTTCAACAAATGGGGCTGAATCAACTGGTTATCCATATGCAAAAAAATAAAGTTTGAACCATACTTCCTGCCATACGCAAAATAAAACCATTAAGTAAAAATAAAAAGTAATGTTGGATTGTAGATTTAAACATAAAACTTAAAAAGCATAAAGCTTTGGCTGGTCATGGTGGCTCACACCTATAATCACAACACTTTGAGAATCCAAGGTGGAAAGATTGCTTGAGGCTGGGAGTGCCACACTAGCCTGGGAAACATAATGAGCCTTATTTCTATGAAAAAAAATAATTGATTAAAAAATATTTTAAAAGTAAATACCATACAGCTTCTAGGAGAAAGTTTTTTTGACTTTCAGTTAGACAAAGATTTCTTAGATAAAAGAAAAGATAAATCTTAGATAAAGATCAAAATTTAAAAAATCACAAAAGAAAAAAATTCATCAACTGAATTACATCAAACTTTAAAACTGCTTTCTAAAAGATGCTGTTAACAGAATAAAAAGACAACCCATGGACTGAGAGAAAATCTTTGTAAAAGGTATACCTGCTAAAAGGCTTGCATATAGAATAAAAAACAACTCAATAGTGGGAAAACAAACATCTCATTTTTTTCCATGGGCCAAAGATTTGAATAAACATTTCACCAAAGAAGGTATGTGATAGCAAATAAGCACATGAAAAACAAATCTCAGCATTGTTAGTCTTTAAAGAAATGCAAGTTAAAACCATAGTAAGAAACTGCTATGCATTTATTACAGTGATTGAAACAAAAGGCCATTTTAAGTGTTGGCAAGGATGTGAACACATATGCTGCTGATGGGGATGTAGAATGATATCACTACTTTGGAAGAGAAAGAGTTTGGCAGTTTCTTAAAAAGCTAAGCATACACCTATCACATGATCCAGCCATTCTACTACAGGATATTTACTTAAGGGAAGAGAAAGCATAAGAAAGCATATATAGAAACAGAGTCTTGTACATGAATATTCCTAGTACCTTCATTTATTATAGCTCCAAACTGGAAACAAGTCAAATGTTCCTAAACAGATCAATGGATAAGCAATCTGTGTTATATTCATACAATGGGATACTACCCAGCAATGAAAGGGAATGAAATAGCGGTACATGCAGCAGTGTGGATTGAATCTCATAACAATTTTGCTAAGAGAAAGAAGCCAAACAAAAAGAGTACATGCTATATTGTCCCATTTATATAAAACTCTAAAAAATGCAAACTAATCTATTTTGACAAAAGGAGATGCAGAGCAAAGGTTGCCTTGGGTGGGAAGGTGGAAGGGTGGAGTTTAAAAGGGCAGAGTGGGGATCTTTGGAGTGTATTTGATATGTTTCTTATCTTGATTGTGGTGATATTTTCATGGGGGTATACACAGGGGTCAAAATCAGTCATGGGCAGTGTATCACATGGCAATTTCACTTCACTAAAGCTGTGAAAAGACTATAGTATTTGAGTGTCCTTATATATTTTAGCCTGGGGCTGCACAAGTGGTAGGAACCAGACTGGTGATAGGACATCAGTGGAAGAGTTAAACATTAGGAAAGATGAGGAGCAAAGAGCCTTTTCTGTGTGTGTCTGTGTGAGTGTTCTGTGTCTGTGAGAAACAGAGAAAAGATGCTTTTCTCAATCGCCCAAACACCAGACGTTTCCAAAAGTGACCAGATAATACAGTTAACAGCAAGTATTTAGCATCCATCATGTCCCCAGCTTTGTGTGAGATTCTTGACAAACTTATACACTGATCCTTTTGATCCTCACAACAAATTTACATTATTCTGGCAGTTTGGAAAACAGGCTCAGAAACCTCGAGTCAGCTGTCCAAAGTTAAACAGCAAGGAAAAGACAGGGCCAAGACCTTCGGGACTGACAGGGCTGGACTTGTTTCCTCTCCCTTTCTCCGGCCCGGCCCTGCAGATAGCTCAGAGTTGGGCGGTTCCAAGCCACTGCACGTGGGCGGGTGCTGAGACAATGGGCCGGGCCTGTCCAAGTGCTCAGCCCTCCAAGGTTAGCTATTGTGTGCGGAGCTATATATAGCTGATTGTTGGGAGGGAAGAGAAAATAAGATTTACTTTTTGGAGGTTCAGAGGGTTTGGACGACTTGAAGGCCTCTGCAGGACAGTACCGAGAGGTCATTGTCTAAGCACAGTTGCAGTGTGGTTTCTTGGCAGAGGGGAGGTGTCCTGGCCCAGGAGGTGTGACGCGTTCCTCTGCTCAAAATAGAGACTGGCCATTTCCTGAGTGGGAGTCAGCCGAGAGTGGGACGGCAGCCCCAGCCCTACAGCCCTGGTGGGAAGTGGGAAATGGGGCGAATACTCAGGGCCCTGAGGCTCTGGAGCTGGGGATGGGGGATGACAGACAAGGCCCATGAGATAGATAGTTGCTTTGTTGCTGAAGGTGCCGGATGTGGCTGGCTGCCACCTCTGGTCTGGGTGGGGTGAGGAGGAAGGGAGCATGGAGTGAGCGTTGCGGCTTGAGTCAAGCTGGCTCGCAGGGAAGAATTTCCAGGGAGAGGCTAGTCCCCTGTAAAAGTGAGAGAGTGGAGGTGGTTTTGAGGCTGCCAGTCGCTGGGTGTGGAGGAATTGATGGTTCCTGTGCAGGAAGTGACTAAAGAAGGGTCCGGAAAAGGAGGCAGAGGCCGGATGATGACCCTGACGGTGTGAGTGAGCATTCAGAGGTGATTTTCTAACTGGGTGAGCACCAGCAGTGCCCTTGGGTTTAGATCCTCCAGAGGATCCAACTTAGTAGTTGGTGGTAGGTTGGTTTGCACTGGTATAGCCATTCTGGTAGTTAAATGTAGAAATAACTGGGTGGTAACTAGCCACTTCGCAGATCCCCCAAAATGACTCCCCACCATTACGGTCAGTCTTGTCCTACCCCTTCATTCCGTGGGATCCTTCTCTTCACTGCCCACAAAATCCAACCATGAGAAGGTTAATGCCTAGCCTCCCTCTGATTGGCCAGTGCCAGGATTGCTAAATACCTCCGTATAACTTTCGCTGGAACCCAAAGAGCAACAACAGTCATTTATATTTGCTGTGTGCCAGACACCATTCTGGGGGGGGGGTACCTACATTAACAGCAACAGCAATAACAATAAGACAACAGACAATAGCTAACGAGTATTGGGTGCTCATTAGATGTCAGGTACTGTGCTGAGTTTGGCATTGATTATGACCCTTAATGCCCACTCATTCACTATAACCCTAAGTGGTGGGTTCCGATATTATCCCCCATTTTCAGAAGAAAAAAACACCCGGAGCCTGTAAAGGTTAAGTAACTTGCTGTAGATAGTAAGTGGCAGGGCCTGATCCAAATCCAGGCAACTCCAAAGCTCTTGTTCTGCGATTACTCTCTCCTGCAAGAAATAATCCAGACATACTCAAAATTGTCTTGAAAACCATGGTTCTAATGTTAAAAGCACTCCCTTCTCTTCTGAGCTGAGAGTTTAGCAGCTTCATTAGCCACTTCCTCCAACTTTGCTGCTTAATGTTCCTAATACATTTTCTGAATTTGGTGGACACCATTTGCATGCTGTGGAAATAAATTTGATTGTACCAAGAGTTTCCCAGTTAATCTGATTCAACAGTGGCCTGTAACACTCTCTATAGGAGATGTACGTGAGTCCTGGCCACTGTCTGCTAGGGACTGATAGGAACACAGAGCCTTGCCTAGTTCCATGTCAACCATTTGCTCTTGAGACTCTAGAGCTTTCCTGGAAACTCTGCTTCCAGATTCTTTTTTTTTTCTTAATCATTGTGCTGTCATCCATTTGCTCTTGAGACTCTAGAGCTTTCCTGGAAACTCTGCTTCCAGATTCTTTTTTTTTTCTTAATCATTGTGCTGAAGTCAATGCAAAGGCCATTAATCTCTGCAGTGTCTTCTTGGCAAGCCTCATAAAAGATGCCCTGTTCCTGAAAGCAGTCCTCTTGCTGACTGTGTTCCAGGAACTGTCCAGAGTATTAATGGCTAGTCATGAGCATGCACTCATCCATTCCTCAACCCTGTGGTCAGCATTGGGGAAGGGCCATGGGCCAAACAGTCCCTGTTCCTGACCTCGCGGGGCTTATAGTCTAGGGAAACAAGTAGATATTAGGCACATTCTTACAGAAATACAGGTAACTGTGTAATTATGTTTTGTGATAAGTGCTTGAAAGAACAGTGAAGAGTGAAATGAGAGGTGATATCAGATCGTAGATTGGAGTGTAAGAAAGTAGGAAGAAGGAAGACTACAAACTGCAGGTAATATTCAGGCTGACACATGAAAAGTCAGCCAAGGGAAAGAAGGAGAGGATCTCAGAAGTAAGTAAGTTCCCTTTGGTAAGAACAGCTTGGTGAAAGCCCTGGGGTGAGGTCAAAGTTTGGCATTGTTGAAGTCAAGAAAAGAAACCACGGTGTCTGGAGTTTATGAGCAGGAGCAAAAGTGGGAGAGAATGAGGCCAGAATGGAGTGGGGCAGATCTCCTATGGATGGGGGTCTCTTAGGAAACGCAGATGAGGATTTAAGGCCTCTGGAGAGGAGGGGAACCATCCCAAAGCAACACCTTTGGGAACAGATAACCAACTTGATAATGGTAAGAGGAGGAGCCCAAAAAGGCTCTCTCTGCCCATAAGGCGCATGAGAATGGGCAGTTGATTTCATAGAAAAACTTATCTTAGGCTAAAATTGTCACATACTGGCAAGGGAAAGCATTCTTGATTAAAGAAAACCCAAAGAAACCGTGATAGAAATGTGTTCCTGGCTTTTAGGGGCTGGGACATTGCCTGAGTCAGGATTCTTTTAGTTAAGTGATGGAAACCAACTCAATTAGCATAAGTGAAAAATAAGCATATTGGCTCTGACAACCGAGGAGTCCAAGGAGTAAACTAGCAGAGTGGAGAGGTTCACCTTGTTCTCTTTCTCGGCATCTTTCCTCTCCCTTCCCTTCTCTCTCCTTGCCAATTTACCCTGACGTGGCTTCATCCCTGCACAGGTAAAGATGACCTCGTGCTACTTCAGATAAAAGAGCTGGATTGTCATCTGAATTCTGACTGTCTGGCTTGGATCATATGCCCATCCTTGAGCCATCTGCCAGGAGAACAGAGTGGTCTGGTGGCTCTGGGTCAGTCCCACCCAAACCAAACGGATTAGACTGGAATGCCAGGAGTATTAAATGTGACAGGGATCATTCCCCAAAGAGATACTGGTGGACAAAAATAGACCACGTAATGTCAATGAAGACAAAATTTGTTCTTGCTTCTACATGGAGAATTTTATTGTTCATATATATAAAGTTTAG